GCTATGTTGCCCAGGCTGGTCTCAAACTCTTGGCCTCAAGGGATCCTCCTGCCTTGGCTTCCCAGAGTGCCAGGATTACAGGCATGAGCCACCATGCCTGGCTTCTTTATTTGTTTTTTAACCAAAAGAGGAAGTTACTTTTTGGTTTTAGGATTATAAAAGAACACGTATCAAGATATATGGATGTAGAAAGGTGTATAAACCAAATAAATGATTAGGTGAAAAAAAGCAAGTTGTAAAACACCAGTCGTAAGATTTGCAGGCCAAACTATGGCCAATAGCATGGTCTACTTTCAAAAATATTTTAATATATTATATGCATAATTTTGCAGGGTGGAATCATGGCAAGGTAATTATGTTAAAAATAGTCCTTGTCCAGGCTCGGTGGCTCACGCTTGTAATCCCACCACTTTGGGAGGCTGAGGCAGAAGGACTGATTGAGGCCATGACTTCAAGACCAGCCTGGGCAAAATAGCGAGACCCCATCTCTACATTAGCTGGGCATGGTGATGTGCACCTGTGGTCCTGGTTACTAGGGAGGCTGAGGCAGGAGGATCTCTTCAGCCCAGGAGTTGGAGGTTGCTGTGAGCTGTGATGATGCCACTGCACTCCAGCCTGGGTGACAGAGCGAGACTATCTCAAAAAAAAAAAAAAAAAAGGAATATACATGCATGGAAAATTCTGGAAGCTGCATTGTCAGTATCAATGAGACTGCTGACCTTCTCGGTGACATGTTTATTTAATGATTTAGTTTTTGTAACAAGCACAGATAACTTTTGTCATCAGGCAACCAAAGAGTAATAAAAGATATATTTTTACAAAGGAATTTGTGCCCCGAACAAAAATTTAGCCTATATCCAAGGGTATGAAAAAGAAATAAAAATGACAATAACCCTACAACCCTTGTCGACGTTGAGGGGAAATTTCTTTTCGTGTTTGTGTCTCTGCCTTGCTCAATTACGGCGTTTGTTCTACCACAGGGAACCACGCCACGGATTTTGTGATCCTTTTATCTTTTTCATTTAATGAAATAGGACAGGCATCTTTCAATGTCAATAAATATAGATCGGAGTCTTTATTTTTAATGGCCAGATGAGAGGCCATTAAACTGACAGACGAGAGGGAATTGATGACGTCATGTGTGGTCCCAGGGGCGGAGAGGGCGCCAAAGGGGCCCAGGTGGGGACAAGGGGTAGCAGCTGGGAGGACGCGGGCCCCGGCAGGGAAGCTCACCATCCTTGCAGGCGGCGGGCCTGGTTCCACTCTGCGCACACAAGGTATAGTGGGTGAGGTGGCCCCGGAGTTGATGCCTTGGGACCTCTCCCCACGCTATGGCGGGGGTCCCTGGGGGGACATCTTGGAGTCGCCAAAGCGCTGGCCCCGCTAGGGGCGCTGCGGAGAAAGCCATTGATTGAGTCAAAGTCTGCCTGGGGCCCAGGCCCCTCCCCCACCCTCCAGCCACACCTGTTACCTAGTTCCTCTCTGAACCCCCAGACTGGGGGCGCAGGGGCCAAGCCCCACGCAGAAACTGCGGTCACCGTGATTCGATAGGGGACCCCTGCTTCGAAATTCCCTGGGTGGCAGAGACACAAAGACGAGTTAGAGATGGCTTCCCTCCCCTCTAGTCATTTCCTACTTGGGAGGAGTCTTCAATCGGGTCCGTCCCCAGAAGGACACCCTGAGATAAGGATTTGAGTGTAAGTCGTTTGTCTGGGAGGGAACCCCGGAAAACACCAGCAGGGCAGTAGGGAAGCGAGACAGGATTAAGTTCCCGCTGCGGACGACCGAGGCTCAGTCCCGCTGGGGACCTCTGGGGGCAGCAGAGAGCACGCGCCTGAAAGCCGCCAGGCCGTCCCGCACTGGGGGGCCGGGGCCGGGGTGGGGTTGCGGGGGTGCGGGGTGGAGAGCGAGCTGGGGGATTTATCCACCAGCCCTCAGGGCCCTTAATTCCCCAGGGCTTCCAACTTGCTGCTCAAGCAGTCGCGGTGCCTCGGTGACCAGAAAAGGTCCCCGGGCTGGGAAATGCAGGAAGCGTGGACTGGGGCGGCCAAACGCGCAGATGCGAGTGGGCAACGGCCGGCACCCCCCGCGGGTAAGTGAGGCTCCCTTGAGGTCCCTCCTCTAAACCCCCTGCTTTTGCATGGCCTTCCCCAGCTGGGAATTTTCCAGAATTGGGGTTCCTCTTCTTTTGCTCCTACATGCTTGCGGGCTTTGAGATTCTGTCTTCATTTCTCACCGAACGCCTTCGCCGCTTTTCCAAGTCCTTTATACCACGGGTAGACTCCCCAGTACCAGGCCCCAGGCCAGAACTCTTTGCCGAACCCCAGACCTACGCAACAGTCCCGGGGATGTCACCGCATGGATGCCCATAGATGAGCATCTCAGATGCAACAGATCCATAGGGTCCCCAGCCAGAATGCGTCAGCTTCTCCCCTGACCTTCATCTAGCTCCATCGTTTATTTTGCTCCTGGACCACTGCAGCTGCCTCCTCCTGGGTCCCCTGGCTGCCACTTTTGCCCTGCCTCCACAGTCCATTCCCCCCATAGCAGCCAGAGGGCGCCTGTGAACACCTGAGTCAGGTCCTGCCCCTCCTCTGCTCAAGAACCCTCCATGGCTCCCACCTCACTCAGATTAAAAGCCAAAATCCTCCCTGTGGCCCTCAAGGCCTTACACAGCTTGCCCTGACCCCTCCCTGCCTTCACCTCCTCCCACCTTCTCCCTTGAACACTCTGCCCCAGCCACACTGGCCTCCTCACTGTCCCTGTAGCACACATTCCTGCCTCAGGAATGACTATGGGGTTCAAATCCTGGCTTTTCCACCTACTTGCTGTGTGGCCTTGGGCAAGTTGCTGAACCACTCTGGGCCTGTTTCTTCATCTGTCAATTGAGCGTGACAGTAATAGAAACTTACTTTTTAAGGCCGTTTGAATGATTTAGTGCTCATGGTATGTGCCATCACCTGCTGTTACTGTGTGCCAGTGCCTGGCACAGGGCCTGGCATATAGTAGGTGGTCAGTTAATATTTTTTGCGTGAATTAATGATACTTTTATTATAAAACTCTCTCTGCAAGTTCACCCATCAGTCTGCTCTCCTTTAACAACCGGGATGGGAACCCAGGTGTCCCCGGGGCTCACCTGGTAACACAACACTGAGGTTCCCAGGGGGAAGCCGGATCCAGTTGAATTCCTCCAGGGGGTCCCCGTCCCGAGCCCAGTCTACCACGTGCTCCTGTGACTCCCCGGGTCCCTGTTGCCAGGTCACCAGCATCTCCGTGCCCCCAGCAATGCCACTGACCTCCACACCATGGGGGCCAGAGCCCGGAGCTGGAGGTTAAAGAGGAAGATATTTAGCTACCCACTTGGGAGGTTGCCTCCTGCCCCTCCAGGGCACTGGGATGAAGAAATTCATGGTCTCTTACCCAAGCACACCAAAGAAAGGTTGGTGAGAGGGTCCCAGCTTGTAGCGTTGATGGCAGACACCCTGGCCCACTCTGCCCAGGTGGGGATGGAGAGGTTGCAGCAGGGGACGACACCTTCTGGACTCACCTCCTGCTCTCCAGCCCCAAACCACACTCTGTAGCTCACCTGCACACAGGGCCCTGGGGCCTGAGGGATGAGGGGAAGAAGGGGTTACTATTTTCCATTTATCAAGCACATACCGTGTGTCTCAGCGAGGTCACCTGATAAACCAGTCAGTGAAGTCTTTTTGCGGGCTCCATTTTATAGATGAGAAAACTGAGTCTCAGAGGAGCTTGGTAGTGGAGATGGCATTCAGATAGGGCTCCAGGGCCAGGACTAGGGTGAGGTGGGGGAGACGACACGCTTTGGGTGCACAATTCAAAAGAGGGGGGTACTAAAAACCCAGTCACTGAGATAATTAATATTTTAATGCAGTATTTTAAGAAATCAGAATGAATGAAAACATCCATGACAAACAAAATAGTAAAATTTTGTTTTGAGATAGGGTCTCACTCTGTTGCCTGGGCTGGAGTGCAGTGGCATCATCATAGCTCACTGCAACTTCAAATTCCTGGGCTCGAGTGGTCCTCCTGCCTCAGCCTCCTGAGTGGCTGGGACTACAGACACACACCACCATGCCTGGCTCATTTTTTAATTTTTTTTGTAGAGATGGGGTCTTGCGATGTTGCCCAGGCTGGTCTCGAACTCCTGGCTTCAAGTGATTCTCCCACCTCCCTCCCAAAGTGCTAGGATTACAGGCATGAACCACCGTGCCTGGCCAAAATATCAAAATTTTAAATAAAGACAGGATCCAGTTCTGCACTAGTGTGACCCTGCCCCGCTCATCTCAGCCTAATTCTAGCGTGAATTAATGATACTTTAATTATACACTCTCTCCTGCAAGTTCACTCATCAGTCTGGGTTCCAATGAAACTGTATTTACAAAAACAGGCATCTGGTCCTTGAACTCTAGTTTGCTGATTTGATTTTTTAAAAATATTACATTAAAATATTATTTATTTTGAATAGTGAGTTTTTTGCCACCCCCTTAAATTGTGTGCCTGAGTTCCCAGTCCACCTCCTGTGTAGTTCTTAGGGAATTCAAAATCCCCGTTGTTATACAGAAGAGTGGTTACGTGTAGCAAAAGAGGCTGGTACCCTCCAAGGGGCTTCGAGAAAACTTGTGGGAATTCGTGGTGGCCTCAATGATTGGTAATTGAAGAGCAGGAGCCAGGGATGCTACCCTGCTCCGGAAATAAAAAATTGTTCTATATCCTTTGTGACTTTTCAATGTCATCCTTACTGGAAACTTCGTTGTGTAGATGAAAAAAACCTATCTAATCATCTTAACTTATTCCAGAGCCAGACTCCTTTTTATGTATAAATACAAATACTTTTTGGAACCTGGTTTTAATACTCAGTGGATTTTCAAATATCCTGAACATATGAGGACTTTCTAGGCAGTTTTGTTATCAATTTCCAGCACAATCTGTGTGTGATTACGGAATATTTCAATGTGCCCTGCATCGCCTCACCCCTTTGAAGTCCCTGGAAACTGGCTCTGTGGCCTGACATGTGGATGATTTTGGTAAATATTCTGTGTGTGTATGCGTGTTCTAGTGCTTCCTATGTAAGGTTAAATTTGTTAACCACATGTTCAATTCTTCTACATCTTCACTTGTTTTCCATGTGCTTGTTATAAAATTACTGAGAAGACTGTGTTAAAATCTCCCACAATAGTTATGGATTCATATATTTCTCTTGTAGTTCCGTAAATTTTCGCTTTATGTATTGTGTAGCTATGTTATTGGGTACATATAGGTTTAGTATTCGTATCATCCTGGTGAACTGAATTTTTTGCCATTATGTAGTAACGTTATTTCCTCTCTATTTTCCACTTAATATTACTATTATAACATGCTCTTTTTTTTTCAAACACATGTATACTTTGGTTATATTATCTCCGTGTTTCATTTCAGTGTAGTAAAGGGGTGTTACAAAGTATGTGTTATAAGGTGGAGGCATCAGGGCTGAGAATTACTGTTTAAAAGCCAATGAATGGCTGGGTATGATGACTAACACCTGTAATCCTAGCACTTTG